CAACATCTACCTTTGGAAAGAACCGTGGCATTAAGAAAACCAAAGGCTTATTGTTCACATAAAACATAAAAAGAAGCTAACAACTTAAAAAGAAACTACTAAAGGAAATAAGAAGCTATGAAGTAAACTACAAAAATCAAACTGAATATATACAAACTTGAAGTAAAGCGAATATATACATAAATAAAAATGAATATATACATCAAATAACAAATATGTACATACCAAAAGTAAAAATAAAAAGAAGTAAAGATAAAGAAAAATAGTATCATAGTTATTACATGCCAATGTCATCAAATCATCAAATCAAAATGGACCACCCCCTATTAAAAAACAACATTGTCCTTAATGCTAATATAAAAATAGGATCGGGGAAAGGATTAGAGAGTAAAGAAAAACTCCATATGTGGTCTCTGTCTGCATCGGGTCAGGCACATGAGTGGGGTCCTCGGACTGCATAGGATCAGTAGCTCCTTTCGGGTCCTCTAACTGGATCTCCAAATCCTCTGACTGGGGGACCACGGGGTTGCGGAGCATCTGGATTATCTCCTCAGCATTATGTGTAGTGGCAGCCGACTCCTTAGACTAGCCAGCTGCTGGTGCCTCATGCTCTGCTGCCTGTGCTACTGGGGCTTGCTCCTCCATGAGCAAGTTTAGTGGGATGTCTCCAGCCGATGTATACCTCTCCACCTCTTTTTTCAGCAGCTCCACTGACTCCTTTAAGGCATGAGTCTTCTTCATCTTCTTCACTTGCTTGCCCAGATCCTTGATAACCTTTCCATGTGTATCCAAAGTCTGCAGGATCTTCTTCTGGTTGTCCAGGAGCTTCTTCTGATTGTCCAAAAGCTCCTTCAATGAATCCTCCACTGATAGAGGTACTTGAAGCTGTGTTGGGGCTGACTGTGCTGCTACTGCACTGGATAAGACAAATAACTTTGATGTAGCTGCCTGCATCCAGCTTCACTTTGATCATCATATGAATTATCTTGATTGTACCCACTACCACTTTTCTCAAATTGATCCAGATTGTTTTGAACTTGTTGACCTCGTTGCCTTCTCTTGTTGAGCATCATATTCACTCCTTCCATGACATTCACTTGTTTTGGCCCTTGAACTTGCTGCAATTTAGCTTTGGCCAATTGGTTCATGGTAGTAGTGGACTCGGCTATAGCTTGGCCATGGTCTTGGAGCTCCTTATGTAGGTGAATAACATTAGGGTCACCTTGTGGCACATTAATTCAACTTTTCCATGCCGAAGAGGTATCCGCCATCTCATCAAGTATTTTACATGCTTCGGCATATGGCGTGTTCATGAAGTTCCCCTCGGTGAGTTGGTTAACCATACATTGGTTTGTTGTATTGATGCCACAATAGAATGTTTGTTGGATCATGGTTTCGGTCATATCATTATTTGGAAATTCTTTAACCATCGTCCGATACCTTTCCCAAATCTCATACAGCAGTTCATTTAGCTCTTGTTTAAAAGGAAGGATCTCATCTCTTAGCATTTTCATATGTCCCGAAGAAAAGAACTTTGCGATGAACCTCTCGGCCAACTCATCCCAAGTGGTGATGGAATGGTTGGACAACCTTTCTAGGTAATCCAAAGCCTTCCCCCTTAGAGAAAAGGAGAAAAGCCTTAACCTAAATGCGTCCTCAGAGACGTTAGTTTGCTTGCTCCCCCAGCACGTATCACCAAAACCTTTGAGATGCTTGTAGGCGTTTTGGTGTGGAGCTCCGGTAAAGAAACCCCTCTGTTCAAAGAGTGTAAGCATGACGTTGGTTATTTGAAAGCTGCCCGCCCTAATCCAGGGCGGGACTATTGCACTTGCATAGCCTTCGTTGGGCAACACCCTGTGTGCTGCCCTTGGAGGAGATAGGGGAGGGTTTGGAATATTATCATGAGGTGGCCGACCTCTCCTTTGTGCTTGAGGTTCAGGTTGAATCTCATCCACGTGATCATTATCTACCTCCTCCCCCAATGGCAAATTTCCAAGGGCTTCATTGTTAAGTGCCATTTGGTACTAAGGGCAATTCACACACAAATTAGAAAAATGGAAGGAAAGAAAAACAAAACATAGAAATACTCAGATATATATCTAAAACCATTTAACTCTCCGGCAACGGCGCCAAAAATTAATCGGGTCCAAGCCTACACTACTATTGAGTATAGAGGTGACCGATGCAGCTTTAACCCAACTAGGTCGGGATCGAATCCACAAGGAGTTAATAATTGGAATTAAGTTTATATCTAATCTAGATGCGGGTTTTGAATCTAATTACACTTCCATAAATGTTTCGTTTGTTCTCTACTTCTACTTCTATTCTATAGCAAGCAATATTCGAAACTAAGTACAATATTTTTGTTGTTGATTTTCAAGGGTTTAAAGGGACTAGGGTAGTGACTTCCACCTAGGTGGATATCTAACGGGTAGAAAGAATCTAGGGCAATCATGTGGTTAATTGAGGTCGTAATATAACTATCACGCCCGGGGTACTCACTCTGTACCTCTCGGTAGTTTGAGTGATTTTGCCCAATTTGGCTTTCTCAGGTCCAAATGTGTATTCATGCAATTCAAGTGATTTTAACTCAAGTCAGGTGTTACCATCTCTAGGTTTAACCTTTTAACTGGGGCTATCAATTTCTTGAGTTCACCCCAATTTCTTGTTAGCCTAGTTTTCCTAGACTTAGTCCCTTTTTTTCAAGTAGGGACTAAGTCATAAAGGCATAAATCAGTGTTTGCAACCATTAATTCAATAGTTCTAGCAAGAACTAGGCTAAATATCACTAACCCATACATATTCAAGTCCTATAATTTAAGAGCCATCAAATACCCACACTAGGGTTGGGTCACAACCCTAGCTATAGGTTTAGCTACTCATGGAAATAACAGATATCAAAGATGAAATAAAGATAAAACTCATAATACTAGATTAAAAGATAAAAATCTAATGTTGAGAGATAATTCTAGTATAAAATTGCCCAAAACAGAATTTACAGTCATCTCACTTGCTCAGCTAAAACAAAACCTAACCTAAAAATGTCAAAAAGATCTATTTATATTAAGCTAAAACTTTCGGACAAAAATACCCCTGTAGAGGTTTTGCAGCCGCATAATTCTTACCGCGGTCCGTGTTTTTAACTTATGGATCTACGATGAAGTTTGTTTCGTGGGCCGCATAATTTCCATCGCAGCCGCGTAGTGGATTTTCACGGCTGTGTAATTCTACCACGGACCGCACTCCTTGTTTTTTGCTTGAAATGTGAACTCTTTGAACTTCAGCAACTGCAGTTCGCATAATTCCAATCGCGGCCGCGGTGCAACTTTCGCAGCCTCACATTTCTGGCGTGGACCTCGCTTAACATTTGTCCTAAAAATGCACTCTCTGATTCTTCACTTTGCTGACCGTGTATTTGTGATTGCGGCCGCGTTGTGGCTTCCGCAGCCGCACAATATTTGTGCGGACCGCGTTTAAGGTCTCTTGGCCCAGTTTTTGTTTTTGTTCCAGTTTTGACTCCTTTATGAGTTGATTATGCCTCATTTGGCTCATTTGATCAATTCCTGCAAGAAAGCGTATTACATTAGTTTCCGGGAATGCCTTCACGCATTTAGGCCCAAAACGCAAGTAAAAGAGAGCAAATAATCGGTTAAAATCCTCATTTATCAGCAAGTAGCGGGGGTGAGGACAAGTATGCCTTTAATTCTCTTAGGGCATTGATGCATTCAGAATTCCAATAGAGTCTGTTGTCCTTTTTGAGTATGTTGAAGAATTTATGGCATCTGTCAGATGATCGTGAGATGAACCTTGACAGGGAGGCTATACGGCCGGTCAGCTTCTGCACCTGTTTCTTGCTGGTCAAAATTTTAGGTATTCCCTCTATAGCCTTGATTTGGTTGGGATTGACCTTGACGCCTCTCTGCGATACCAAAAAGCTGAGGAACTTTCCCGAGGTCACGCCAAAGGCGCACTTTTTAGGGTTCAGCTTCATGCTATATCGCCTAAGTATGTCGAAGGCTTCTCTCAGGTGGTCGATGTAGTCTTCTTTTCTTTTTGATTTGACCAACATGTCGTCTATATAGACTTCCATCGTTTTTCCGAGTTGCTCTTTGAACATCTTGGTGACCAGCCTCTGATAGGTCGCCCCGATATTTTTCAACCCGAACGGCTCGACTCTATAGCATTACGTCCCTTGGTGGGTGATGAAGGTGGTCTTTTCCTGGTCCTCCTCCTCCATAAGGATTTGGTTGTATCCTGAGTAGGCATCCAAGAAGCTTAATAACTCGTGCCCCGCTGTTGCGTCGATGAGCTGATCGATGTGAGGCAACGGGATAGAGTCTTTTGGGTAGGGTTTGTTTGGGTCCGTGAAGTCTATACACATGCGCCATTCCCCTTTTTCTTTTTCACCATGACTATGTTGGCGACCCATTGGGGGTACTTTGACTCTCGAATGGAACCGTTGGCGAGCAATTTTTCTATTTCTTCATGGACGGTCTCGTTGATTGCAGCATTGAACGTTTTTTTGATTTGCCGTACCGGCAGGTAGAGTGGATCGACATTCAGCTTGTGTGTTGCTATGTCTTTCGGGATACCCGGCATATGTGCATGGGAGAAAGCAAACATATCGGCGTTGTTAGTTAACAATTTATGGAATTTACCTAGTTCTATGAGTTTGTGGCCAATGTAGGCTTTTTTGTTGTGGTCACTTTTGTCCAGCTGGACAGGATCGAGGTCTTCTACTGTTGACCCTATGGCTTCCTCGACGCTAGGGTCTTTGACGATGTCTGTTTGTTCGTCGGACTCGGGCCCCAACTTGGTAATACTTGTGCTCCTGAGGCCTCCGCTCTTAACTGTTGAGTGTATGTGTAGTCTTGGGCGATGCAGTAGCATTCTTGAGCTGTGCGATAATCATCGTGGATGCTGAATATTCCCCATGGGGTAGGGAACTTATTGACCTAATATAAATTGGATGGGATGGCCCTCATGGCGTGTATCCAGTGTCACCCTATAATGGCGTTGTAGGTTGTGTCTTGGTTCATGACATGGAATATGGTGTCCAGGGTGACACCCCTGGCCAGAACGGGCAATGTTATCTCTCTGGACGTTCGTTCAACTCCATTGTTAAAACTTGTTAGTGTTATGCAGCGTGGTACTATCTTATCCTCGAGTCTCATTTGTGCTAGAACTCTGGGGTGGATAATAAACGCGCCGCTCCCATTGTCTACCATGATTCTTTTTACATCAGTAATTGAAATTCTAAAGCAATGACAAGAGCGTCGAAATGAGAAAAGGTCAAATAGTGGGTATCTGACTTATCAAAGATGATACTGTCTTCGAGGTCATCATACCGTTCATTGGTGATCAACCGCTTCAATTTGTGTATGTTGGTGAACTTCACATGGTTGATTGTTCCTTCGTCGCCTCTACCGATGATCATTTGGATGGTGGGGGCGGGAGAGGGTGGCTTTGGGGGGCCTTGATCTTTTTCTAGTCCACGGGCGAAATTGGCTCTCCCTAGGTCACTCATCAGCTCCTTTAAATGTCCTTGGTGGAGCATGTTCACTACTTCTTGTTGTAGGGCTATGCAATCCTCGGTCTTGTGGCCATGTTCCTGATAGAACTCGTAGAGGGCATTAGACTTTCTGGAATTTGGGTCCGACTTCATCTTTTGTGGCCATTTCACCTTGGGACCGAGCTTCTCTAGGGCGTAAACTATTTCTAAAGGAGAAACACAAAAATTGTGAGCATGTAAAAGTGGAGGCATACCTTTTTCGTGTCGGTGAGTCCCTGTTTGTGGCCTGGACGCCCCTTCGACTTGGCGGGGAGGTAGTGGGATGGCTGCTCTAATGTATGGTTGGTGCCTTTCCCGATTGAGGAGTGGTCCTGTGTGATCTCTTTGGCTGTCATTCTGACGATATTTCCTTGATTCCATTTGGACTGACATCAACCATTGAGTTGGACCATTGAGGTCGTCTTCATCTGCTCTCACCTCGGCACAGTAAGCGTTGTGAATTTCTTCCCAGGTGGTGGGAGGGTATTTCATGAGTCTGCTTAATAATTTTCTAGTCGCCCTCGACCCGATCCTATTTAACCCGTTTTGGAAGGCCGCTACCGCTATCCCCACTGAATCGTTTGGTAGGCTCATTCTTACTCTGTTAAACCGGCAAGGAAGTCCCTGAGTCGTTTGCCAAACAGTTGTTTGATGGCGAATATGTCATTCACTATGGCTTCTACTTTCTTGGCCTCGGTATGGGCAGTGATGACTTGTCAGCCTTATCTACTGCTGAAGTTGAGTATGTTGTTGATGCCTCATGTTGTTCTTAATTGTTGTGGATCAAACAACAATGAATGGATTTTGGAATTGATGTTGGTTGCATCCCTATTTTTTGTGATAGCACTAGTGCCATTAGTATGGCAAAGAACCCGGTTCATCATAAAAGAACTAAACACATAGATGTTAGGTACCATTTTTTGAGGGACAACTATGAGAAAGGCTTGATCATTGTGTAGCTTTGTGCTACTCATAAGCAAATTGCTGACATTTTCACAAAAAACTTAAGTAGAGATCATTTTGAAAGGAACAGGTTGGAATTAGGGATGATTAAGATCACCTAAATGGACCAGTTCAATGCTAAACAAAAAAAAATTGAAACATAAGTAGACTAAATCTTACTCAATCTCATACTTTTAATAGTATACTCTTGTGCCATATGTTAAAATGAGTCATTAATCTCTAATGATATTTTCTCTATTTTTGCAAATCTAGACTTACGCAAGAGAATTATCAGTGAAGAACCTAGTTCATCAAGATAACACGGTATGTTTTCTACACTCTGCATATTTTGAAATAATAATATTTGAATCCTGAGAAGAGTCCCTCCTAAGCTAAATTTCTTTTGAACTTATCTATTAAGTGAAGTTTTGTTCAAAGACTCCCACCCAAATTAACTCACCTAGATTCTAGAGACGCCTCAATCGTCTCTTCAAAATTGAAATTTCAGTTTGATTAAACTTCTAATTGACTGTTAAACCTTCCATTACTTAGTAATTACCCCTTCCTTTAAATCATTCATCATCATCTCTCCCATTCTCTCATAATTCCCAAAATTCGTCAAAATTTCTCTCTTCTTTTTTCTTCCAAAATTTAACCTACACATCTCCTTCCTCACAGAATCAAGAAAAATGACTAACCCTCAAGATAACCATGGTACATTCCCACCATGTTCCTCATCTTAAACTATCTCTCAACCTAGGAGACGACGAGTAAAAATGCTTGCTCGAAAAACTGTAGCTAAAGGTGCGCTTTCAAGGAAACTCGATGCACAGTTATAGGCAAGTCTAGCCCAAGAACCCCAAAACTCTAATGACTCTTTCAAGTCTGCAACTGAGGGGGAAGGAACCGGTCTTCCAATTCTGAGCAGGTAACGCCTGTGCCAAACCCTTCTATTGAGGTCATCTCTGATTTGGATAAAAATTTATAAAATAGATTTATATTGGTTGGGTATGTGGTGGATGTAGAAATGCCTGAGTTCAGAAGGAGAGGAGGTAAAAATAAAAGAGAAAAAGAAAAAGAGAGTGAGGGTGTGCGAAGCGATGAGAGGGGAAAAGGGAAAGAAGTGGTTGATTCTTCACCTACTTTTGGAACTAATAGAATGGCTATCTGTAGAGCAGAGTCAGAAAAGGTGGAGGAAAGTGGCAAGAAAACAGGGGGAAGTGGATCAGGAGAAGTCGCTGAAGGCTGGTTAACCTTGGAAAGCATACAGATGAACCTGGTTTATCCGTTGAAAAACCCTAGAAGATTTTTTGAAAAAGGTAGGTGACGGTTATAACCCCAAGAAAAGGATAACTCCTAAAACAAAGATCCCTGGCACAACAAGAGCCAACAAGAAAAGGAAGGTTGCTCCTTCTAATACTACTAAAATTCCTCTCCCAAGAGGAAGAGCCACGAGGAGCAAGCTGAAGCAAAACGAGGAGGAGTTGCAGAAAGCTTTAGAAGAAAGTAAGAAGAATAGGATGGAGAAAGGGAAAGAAAAAGTGGGAGAGCATGTTAAGGCTGTTGATGTGGATAAGATGGACCTGGTCCATCAAGGTGAAAAAGTGACTACTGAGGTGGAGGTTCAGACCCCCAAGCCCAAGAAAGTCAAGACTTCTTCTAAGAAGTCTACATCTGTATCCAAGTCTGCTGAACCATCTACCTTGGTAAAAAGGACCAGGTCTGCAGTGAAAACTAAACAAGTAAGATTATTGAAGAAGAGGAATCGAGTAAAAAAGAGGAGGATGAATCAGACAGTAAAGTGGACAAGCTGGCCAAGTTTGGCAAAATGACTATCTTGAAGGGAAGACTCCTAAAGGATCTGGAGGATGAATGGATGGTCCTTCTGCTGGAAAGCTAGAGGTACAAGGGTGGAAGGACATGGTCCTTCAAATGGATGGCAGATTGGCTAGGGATGAAGTAGTTGAGTTTATGGAAAATGTTGTAGTGCAGAATGGAAGAGTTACCAGCTTGGTAAAAGGGATGCAAATCTCTTTTGATATGAAGGAGTTGAGTGAAATTCTAGGTGTACCTGCTGAGGGGTACAATGATTACACAAGGCTTAAGTGGCCAAGCCTAGAAAATTTTCCGACTGCCCTTGCCATCACCAGAAAATTCAGTGATCATAAGCAGGAAAGTGAGCCCAAGGCTATAGAAAAGAATGCGATGAAGCCTTCCCACAAGGTGCTATTTGAATTTGTCATTAAATGTGTTCTGCCTAGGCAGGAGAAGAGGCACATTACAAACTTCATGGACTTGGTTCTGATGGAGTGTCTAGATAGTGGGAAGCAAATAAATTGGCTTGGGTTTATAGTCCAGCTTTTTGATAAGGTTATCAATGGTACCAAGTCTCATACTATTCCCTGTGGGTTCATTCTTACTACTGTGCTTGCTCATTTTAAGGTGCCTTTGAAGAAGTAGGAGCTAGCTACAAGCAAATATCATTTTGGGGCGAAAACTCTGATTGCTTGTGACTATGAGGTTCTTGTCACTCCTAATGAACCTGGTTCGTCCAAAAAGTCACCAATTAATAGCAAGGTCAGAGTCTTGGTACAGGAGAGTGAGGCAAAGGAAGCTGAGATAGCAAGGCTGAAGTCACAGTTGGCTGAGGTAGAATCTGAGAGAGATGTTCTCAGAAATAAACTTGCAAGGGAAAATGAGAAGAATGATGGAATTCTTCAAGACATACTGAAACTTCTCCAAGCAAATAACCTAGCCGCTACCTCTTCTAAGCCTTAAATCCTAGCCTAGTGTAGTTCCTTCAGTGATCCAGTTTGGGATGTTTCTTTTGTTGTTTGCTCATGTTTTCAGTATTTTTATTTCCTTTTATGCATTGTGGAAGAATCATATCAACTATCAATGAAATCAATGAAATCTTCTGTTTTTTGCTCTAACTATTTGTTTTTATTTCTTTGATGGTTGAAACTTTTAGCTTGATCAATGATGATTAATCCATAATTGCATTTGGGATAGCCCCAGTGGTCTTGATTAAGCTTAATAATCTGGGTTCTGCACATTTTATGCAACTTTTCGATGATGCCAAAAGGGGAAAAATAAATAGGTTACACTTTAAACAAGTGATGTGTAGCTTTGAACAAGTGATGTCTATAACCTAATGAACCTGGTACTTGTTGATAAGTGATAAAAAGGAAAAATATTTCTAACATTGTGTTGATGTTGAGCTGAATTTAAACAGGGCCTAAGCGTATGAAAAGCAAAGAGTTTATCATCATAAAAAATGGGGAATTTGTTGGCCCAAGTACAGGTTTGTTTTGAAGATTGACAAAGGATTTCAGGCTTGAAGGTCCATCTCTTGTGAGCACAGATACAGGCAGATTTGAGCATGTGGGATGCACGTGAAGGAGATAAACCTAACTTGACAGAATTGATATCTCCTTATCGAAAAGGTTGTATAATTGATAAGGAGAAGGACTCCTCACTCAAAGAGAACACTGTCTAAGACAGGGAAGGAGTTAGATGTTGAGATCAACTAGAACTCTTCCACCAAGGAAGAGTAGCATCAGAATTTTAGTTAATCTTTATTTACTAACTCTATAAATATCAGTGTTGTTCTCTTTTAGACAATGCACAAATGCTGAAGTTAAACATGAATTGAGAGCAAAATAGCAAGGCTTTTTGCAAGCAGTTTGTGTGTGATTCAAGTGTGCAAACCTGAAGCTACATGAACTAGATAGAACAACCAGTTCCAAGTATCTGTCTTTTATTCTAGTTCAATTGTAGTAGGTATTTTCATATTGTACCTTTCAGCTTTATCTAGAGGCAATTGTAATAGGTACTTAGAATATTCAAGTTAGAGTTAACTTGAAGTTGTCGCAACAGTTAGAGGCTGTGTGCTACAACAGGATTAGAGTTAGTCCTAGGTTTACAAAAGAGTTTTTATAAATACAGTTTTTGGCTCAGTGATTTTAGTGGAGAGTTTGGGAAAATCCTACTGGAAAGTAGGTCATGGTTTTTTCACTTTTTGAGCTAGGTGTTTTCCACGTAAAATACTTGTGTTCTTTACTTTTCTCATTTACTATTTCTGCAATAGTAGGTTAAGGAACACTTAGAAAACCAGGTCCTTCCATAATTAGTTTAAGCGAAAAATTGGACACCACACAAATCACCCCCTCTTGTGTGGTATTGAAGTATAAAATATCAGAAGGAATTTGTCACCGAAATGTTGAATGAGTTGGATGATTCCTTCTTCTGACTATAGCGTGTGACAACTGACTATGGAAATGAACAAAGTGTTCTTAGATCTGGTGAATAAAAGAGGAATGTTAAGCAATGGAATCAAACAGAGGAGGCAGACAAGCTTTTTGTATATTCTTGATAGTCAACCTTTTACAAGATGTTCCTCTCAGAAAAGTTCAGAAGCCCCCTTTTTGTTCCCTATCTCTTCCTATTTATAAGGAATATTCCTAGAAAACTCTAAAAAAATATAATTGGGAGAATATTCATTGTAATATTCCTATTCATAATCCTAAGAATATTTTAGCCGTTGTTGCTGCTTGTTCTTAACTCGACCTTGGCACTGGTCTCTCTTTGGGCGACTCCTCGCCAATGGGCCGTGCTTGGCTTCGACCTCGGTCTCAGCTCGTCCGTTTACATTCACTAAACTCGACCTAATTTTGACCCATGCATATATGTCGTTTGATCATTGCCATGAAACATGGATAGATGGTCGTAAGCTTTTAAGAGAGCAAAATTTCATGATTCATATAGGATAACAATTTACGCCGGCCAATCCTATTGACTTATAATATACCAAAACACTTTTGTTACCACACTCAAGAATGGCAATGGTGTGCACATCATTGATAGATCGCTTGCTATCAACCTCTTGGCCTAAAAAATGTAATATTTCTCGATAAAGTCAGGTTAATCAGGGTAAAATTATATCCTTTAGGAATCGTACATACACCGATAAAAGAACTGATGTATACATAAAGAAAGCCTTGTGCAACAAAATATGCAAGTAATACGTTTCTGGGAGGGGTCTTTACTTATTTAATTTAAGATTAACATTTTGTTTTATAACAAGTTTTTAATGAATTTTCTAAAACGTTTTCACAAGAATACTTCAGTAATGTTGAGTCCAACGAGGATTATTATATGAGCTATGTCTAGCACCTAACGATGTGACCTAGTGGTCAGTAAAGTGGGTGAGAATCATAAGATTACCTGGTAATTTCTTGCCATCTATCCAAGTATTGGTGGATAGAGTTATCTGGTATTTATTTCTGGTGAGGTAACAGATATCCCATGGAATTAGTCAAGGTGCATGCATGCAAGATGGGCCTAACTAGTGTTAGGCCCAAAAAAATGTCTATCCTCTGATATCTTCATATTACAATATGCAGCAACTAAAATTTGAATTTGAACCTACATAATCTGATAGTTATCTCTTTGGTATCTCAACACTAACACAATATAACAATAATAATCTGATTGGATTCGACATTTCCATTGAATATCTGAAACTAACACATACAGTAGTGCTTAAATGAATATTCTCGTTTATAGTTATTCTAGCTATATGCTACTGTTTCCCAAGTTTGTTTTTCTTTCTTTTGTGATTATCCTTTAATACAACACAAGAATAAAAACTTATTGGACAGTACTACTGCTGAAATGGAGCATTAAGTTCTAGGCTGTGAAAATGTATAGTGCAAAAGCAAAAAGTCATTAGTAAGAAGGAAATAACATACTGTTCAAGCAAGTTGAGACATTGAAGTCATAAGTACACTTCAACAAAAAGATAAAAGAAGAAAGTCTAGAAATACACATTCAACTCACTAGTAGAGAGTCACATTAATTGGTAGGCTAAAAAGAAACCAAAGGGTTAGACTTGGTTCTAGCTGCTATAGGAATAGCTTCTGCATCTCAAAACATGTTCCCTTTTGATTCTGATATCAGTAAGGTGAGACACTAACGTTGGTTGAAGTAAACAAACCATCTTTCATAAGAACATCTTCTCCATCCTATCAACAAATTAATAAACCAAAAGGAAAAATAAAAATTAAAATGAGAAATTCACTGAATATACAATGGGGGGGG